AAACCGAGTCGAATAGCGAACAATACAAATGTTAAAAAAGCCAGTGTGGTCTGAAGAAAAACGTGCAGGCGCTGGCGGTGAAGCATCTCCAGCTCTAATAAATGAAAAAAATAAAAAACTAAAATTAAAGTTTCTCCGTTTTTAAAGAACTTTAAAAGAACTTGACTGTAGCGGTGACACGGCGGTGAGGGCGGGAACAGAGGTGCTGTGACGCAAACAGGAAATCCGTGGTAGAGCAGACTGTCTCATTTCAGTTCAGTCTTCGTGGGTCTACGCAGCCTCGAAGGACACTCCTTCGTAGACCATGTCCTTCGAAGGGTGCAGACCCTGAACTGGGACACAGCTACAATTTTCCATTCTATGGTATCTTTAATGCTACAATAGGAACAACATGTGGCCTCCAGCACTGCAGACTGAGAAGTTGCTTCACTTGATCCCTCGCCTTGTTTTAATTTGCATTAGAAACATGGTTTGAAACTGAGACAAATCAACTTTTTTCTTAATTCCGAAATGTTGGAAGACAAGCTGTTGATCTGAATTCACAGAGGGCAGTCTCATTTCTGCCGTCTAATTGAAGAGCGAAATTAATTAAGCCAAATCAGAATCAGAACGGAGACGGGACACACATACACACGCCTTCCAGACACCTCTCAGCATCCTGCGTCTGCTATGATGGAGAACAGGAGCCGGCGAGGGAAGGTTAGCTAATTGTACAAAGAAAGACAAACGACTTCAAGCTGGAATGAATGAGAGAGAAGATAAATCAAGCGCCGCGGCTGTTATTCATAATAGAACAAATAATACCCTTACAAAACTAGAGAGCGCCGCGGATATCGAGACTCTATTTGAGTCAAAATGCATGAACGCACAGTAGCTGTCGGAGTCTTTATGTCATCTGAGTGACAGTAAGGGAGCATCTCAAGGGGAAGAGGAGGAGAAACGACACAGGCTTTGAAATTCAGACAGTGTTTTTAAAGAGGACACATGTAACGATGACGAGTCCATAAATCAGTCTCTAAAGCCGCCGCCCTGCACTCATACGCCACGCCGGCTTTCAGAGTGATGATCCACACCTTCGTCCTACAGGTTGCTGAATTAGAGACGTGCAGAGGCCGAGCGAGGATTTAGCGATTCTGGGGCCAAAAGACTTTTAAATTAGTGACGCAAACGTCTATACTGGAAAACATGATATCCTGGCAAGTGAAATCATCTTATATCTAGTAGATATAACTAATATTTCTCATTTTGAGATTGCTGTAAAGCTAGACTCTTAAAAAAGATGTTTTTTCAAGGGTTCTTTAGTAAAGACAATGGTTCTATTTAAGCATGCAAAGCTCCATTTGCATGCTAAAACGGTTCTTGGCATGGTGAAATGGTTCTTCAGATTGGTGGAGAGTGTGTTGCATATGGTTTAAAAATGAAAAAGTGTTCTTCTACTGTTATAAGCTTGACATCGTCACAATTAAAGAATCCTTTTTGGTGATGTATAGAACCATATACAGCACATTCTCCATCAATCTGAAGAATCATTTCACCATGCTGACAACGCTTTAAACATGCAAATGGTTCTTTGAGTTCATGGTTCTATATAGAACCACTGTCTTTATTAAAGAAACCTTAAAGAACTTTTTAAAGAGTGTGGTAGTCTGCAGTTTTGGACTGATTACCCATTGTGATCACGTTTGCACTGCTATGAGGCGCAGCGCTGTCATTCTGCACCTCATAGCGGTGCGCATCCAACGGCAGCATGATGCCTTTCCAGCGTTGCCAAGGTGACCGCGGTGCTGGCTTAAATGGTTCATTATCAGAGGACAGCTTGATCAGTGTAGGTTGTTTATTTAAGCTGATGGAAGGCAGGGGGCGCTCTGCGCTCTTTTATTGTTGTATAATTCTGGGTTCGTCTGGGATTCGTTTGGCGTCCACGGCTTGCTTGATTTGATTATTTTATTGATTTTTTTTGCCATGCTGATTTGCATTATATCTATGGGCAATCAACAGGCTTGTTGTCCACCGAACAGTGTTGACAAGCTCAACATCGCCCCCTGCTGTGAGCTCTGCCATCATGAGGCTCTGGACTGGTTTAGAAATTTCACTTTTAGTTTATTTCTAACTTAATAATTCTACATTTCCCCCCCATTTTAACCCAAAATTTCTCATGGCTGACCCCAGACGTTCTTGTTATGATGTAATGCCAGGCCTATGCATGCTTCTGTTGAGTTTCTAAGTGAAAACAAGTGAACACAACTTTTTTGTTATAGTGTTATGACTTATTTAGCTTTGCAGCACCTTGAGATTTAGACTTAAATAAGAGGTGCTTTTCAAATACTTTGCATTATTACAGTTATTAAAATCTGGACCCATCCCTCAGTGCACATTCTTAGCATGAACTTATTATCCTACCTATAAAATAGACACTTAACAGGCCTACTGGGTCTACCTGTATCACAGTACATGCTTCTTTAGTAAAGCTCTGCTTCTTTTTGATTGATTGGTTTAATTCTGTACTTTCTGCAAGCCGTGACAAACGACCACAGGATTCTGTGAGCAGATTAAACACACTGTGTCATCTGGATAGCGGCGTACGCTACAGTGACTGACAGCTATGAAAGAAAGGAGTCGAACCATAAAACGTTAACCAGTAGCTTGAAATCAAAGTTCAAGAGAAAACTGTTCCAACCAGAAGTGAAGGTTTATAGCTCATATGAGGGCTGGGCAATATGACGATATATATCGTTATTGTGATAAATTACATCATAATATATGCTTTTCTGAACATATCGTTTGTATCTTCAGTGCTTGTAGACACCGACCAACTGCATGATTCATTATAAAGAGAGCAAAATTAGTCTGTTTAACTGGATTTAGTGAGAAATGTTGAATAAAAATCATTGCGTTCACAGTTTTTGATAGTATTTTTTTAAATGTAGCACTGCTGGCTCTTTCTTCTCTGTTCCAAGTGATCAGATACCTGAAAAAATAAATATTGTGACATATTGTGTATCGTGAAAATTTCCTGAAGTATCACAATATTGTATTTTTGACATATCGTCTACCTCTAGCTCACATGAGGTCAAGGATTCATATTACCTGGTGGTGTTTGCGGGAGAGGGGATGCAACAGGGGGCGCTGATGCTTTGACCCACCTGTTGCACATATGTTCTATAGGCCAGGGTGTCTCAACCACTGGGTTGCGGACCATAGCAGTCCATAATGGATCTTTGATGGCACTTTGTCATAAAATAAGTGAAAAATAACTGACTTAACAATAAACAATACATTTTAAATGTTTTCAAACAGATAAAATCTTGCAAACACAGCGCACCAAGGCAGCTTCATCAGCTTTTGCTCCTTGCTTCTAGAAACTAAACACTCCCCCCACATTCGGCTCAATGTGCCACCATTGGGCCTGATTTCTGGTATAAAAGAAGCTTATGTTAGTCCAGTCTATCATCTTTTATGTTCACTGATACGTGTCATGTACTGCAAAGGTTGGCACCCAAACACAGCTGTGCTAAATTTCCCAAAAATGATATTTTTAAGCAAAAAAGTTGAGTTATTGTATTTGTATTGTTATTGTATTTTATTTAGCCCCATTTCCCCAATAAATGTACATTATAAATATATGTGCCTTCAAGAGCCCTGCGATCATCTGCTGCTGGTTTATTGGTGTTCAGCAACAGAACAAAGAAAATTGGGGATGCAGCCTTTGTCAGTTATGCTCCAAAGCTATGGAACACACTTCCCATAGATATCAGGGAAGCCAGCTTGCTAAATACTTTTAAAAGAAAGCTAAAAATGTGTCTCTTCACTTCTTTTAAAATGCTGTATTTAAATGATTTTATGCATATATTCATAATTAATCTTATTCTATTTTTTTATGTATTATGTATTTTATCGTCATCTTCTGTCTTTGTTTTTATGTTTATTTTCATGTGAAGCACTCAGTGTATGTAATTTATTGAATGTAAAGCACTTTTCTGCATTTCTTGCATGAAATGTGCTGCACAAATAAACTTCATTATTATTATTATTATTATTATTATTATTATTATTATTATTAGTTCATTCACAACAGACTGTGGCCCAATTCCATTTCACCCCTCGCCCCTACCACTCAGCCCTTAGCCCTCTGTTTTGTGTGTTCACGACTAGGGGTAGGGTGAAGTGTTGGGGCTACATGACCCTCCAAACGGAGGATTTTCAGAGGCTCCAAACAGAGAGTTATGAGAAAAAAAGAAAAACTGGCGAGATGGCTGAACAAGAGACCAAAGAAACACACAAATATCAGAATTTTCTCTGTTAAAAAATTACAATAACCATCGGTTTATCTTAGTTTAATGTGGTTTCAGTGTATTATGGTCCTTTTTGTCATAACAAGCATTAAAAAATCGATAATAGTATGCTGATGTCTCAGTAGCTAGCTAACTTTCCCGTTCCACCTTATATAGTCCAGCAGTTCTGATGCCAGAATGTAACTGCTGCTCCATTTAAGGTGGAACAGGAAAATTTGAACAATAATCTAGTGAATATCTGACTTCAGCTTCATATCACTGAAGAATTAGGGGTGGGTGATAATAAATAATTGCCCCCCTCTTTGAAGTCATATGATGCCCTAAATGTAACTAAAGCCCAGCAGTGAGGAGCTGAACTTTACCCTCCTCTGCTGTCACTGCAGACTGGCAGGGTCGCCTACAGAGCAGCGCTGGTAGCTGTTAATGAAGTGATGCTCTTTTTATTTGAGGGTCCCATTTCAGAGGAAGATTACAACCACTACCCTGTAACTCAGTAACAAGGGGCAACACTCGAAAACAAGGGGTAGGGGTAAAAATAAGGAATGGGACTGGGCCTATGACAGCAGGGCGCCACCTGGAGGAGCTGTTGCTGCTGTTCTAACCTAAACATAAAAGGTAAAACCCATAGCGCGGCCAATCACATCAGACCTCATCAACTATAAGCCAATCATTTGGTTTTATTTGCTCTGCAGTTGGCAAACACTGAAGCTGGACAGGGTTTTAGTTAAAAGCTCACTAAAATAAACATTTGACCTTCTTCAAAATCTGTAATGTACAGAGTGAAGATTCACACCTACAGTACGGAGTTGTGGCAAATTATGGTCAGTAAAGCAGTCAGGTTTTACTCAGGTGCTTGTTAGCTATTCAACTGAGTTTATGTGAGGAGAAGAAACGGGGTTAGCCTGACGCTAACATTAGCTCGCTAACCGAGTTTATGTGAGGGAAAGTAATATGGTTAGCCTGACGCTAACATTAGCTCGCTAACCGAGTTTATGTGAGGAGAAGAAATGGGGTTAGGCTAACGCTAACTTTAGCTAGCTAACCGAGCTTATGTGAGGGAAAGTAACGGGGTTAGGCTAACGCTAACATTAGCTAGCTAACCGAGCTTATGTGAGGGAAAGTAACGGGGTTAGGCTAACGCTAACATTAGCTCGCTAACCGAGTTTATGTAAGGAGAAAGTAAATGGGGTTAGGCTAACGCTAACATTAGCTAGCTAACCGAACTTATGTGAGGGAAAGTAACGGGGTTAGGCTAACGCTAACATTAGCTCGCTAACCGAGTTTATGTAAGGAGAAAAAATGGGGTTAGGCTAATGCTAACGCTAACATTAACTAGCTAACCGTGCTTATGTGAGGGAAAGTAATGGGGTTAGGCTAACGCTAACATTAACTAGCTAGCTAGGGTTGCTAGCCGTCCCGTGAAACACGGAATCGTCCCTTGATTGGAAACTAATGCCGCCTTCAAGGCTGCTCGGAAGTTCCTACTTAGATCGTAAGTATGACTTGATTTGTGTTAAAGCGGTTTTCGGTTGGAAAGAAGACAGATATGCTGGAAATACCGTTTTTGGTTTACTCTTGTTTTTCTGTCGTTAAAGAGAATCGGTGAAGGGCAGAGGCTGCTGATGGGCAGAGTGTTGTTCTTATGCAGTTATGTTTCACACAGCGTGCTAATATCTGTATTTTAACGCGTGGATGGGTTCAGCCTGCAGTGTTCAGGTTGCGGCTGATGAAAAGCTGAAATACGGCCAGTTTATCAGCGGCTGTTACTTATTTTTTGTCGAAACGCCCTCAACTCGGAAACTAGTGGCTCACTGAAAAATCTGGGTTTTCCTCTATTAAATACGGTACTGCGGTAGCGTTCGCGCGCATCCATCTCGTAAATATGATTTTTCCGACATGACTTGAAGTGGAAATAACAATGTGTTCTGTATTGAACTGACACGGGACGCGCTTTATTCCATATTTGTGAGAATAAATACGGAGCCCCTAAGGGGCTGTAGTAAAAGAGTCAATGACAGACCTAGATGATCCAGCCAGGCACATCAACGGCGCCGCCATTTTAGGGCGGTCATTCAGTACCATTACAGAGCGGCAGTTTAATAAAGATACTGTTCAAAATTACACTATTTCAGGAATATTACACTCAGAAAGTGGGATAGGATTATATAACGGAGGGAACAAGAAAGCCACCAGAAAGGGACTGCTGCACCATTTAAGGTGGAACGGGAAAACTCGAGCAAAAAGCTGGCGAACAGGAAGCCAATGTAGCTTCGTCCTTCTGTGTGTAAAGATTAGAAGTGATTCACACATTGATGGATTTGCTGATTGTGTTTTACCTGAGCTCGCGCTAAACTCTAAACTAGACAGAATACTTTTCCACTGGTCCGGACGGCTAATTATCACGATCAGTTATTAAAGAAATAAAAGCTATCGAGAGCAGATCCGTGCAGCCTGGATTAATCTGTGTTTGAGGATTATAACTAAACAGATTTGGTGAAAATCGGTTGAGTAATAAGGAAGTTGTGGCTGATTTAATCCTGAGACTCATCGTCTCTCAATACAAGTGAATCTGTTCACAAGCGGATCTTGACCTCTCCAACATGGCGGACGCGCAGACGTATCGCCTCAGATCAGAGAGACATTACAGGCTGCGCTGTTAAGACAGGGCGGTTTGTATGAGGCAGAAAGTAACCCTGCTGCTCTCCCTCAGCCCGTCTGGCATGATATGTTCCAGAACCCAAACTGACAGCAGCGCAAGATTAATAAAAATCTCACTCACACATCACATCCAGGTGTGTATGCAGTAATTTAGGGGCTAAACCAGCGGCCCCACCTTAAATTGCACAGCCCCGGTTTGCTGATTGTAACCCGTGCAGTGGGTGGAGTTTAGATGAAGCTGAAGTTGGCGTCTTATTATTTTTCCCGTTCCACCTTAAATGATAAAGCACTTACATTCAGACCCCTGTTCGGTCGTTAGCGAGTACATGCGGCACTATTTAAGGTGGAACGGGAATTCCAGTAGGAAGCTAACATCAGCCTCGAGAGATTATCAGGTGAAGCGCGACAGACAGACAGCAGACAGAGCTCCACTGAGTTTAGTAACTTAGCTAGGCTGCTGTTTTCATAATGTCCATACGTGAATCATGAGAACAGACAGCAACGGTAAGGACTTCTCTGTAAGACCGAACGGCTGGCAGAGACAGAAACAGCATCGTTGAGGCTCTTTATACTCTTTGTTTTTATGTTCCTCTGCAGTGTTTGGAAAAATACTGACACCAGTATTTTCCATGTAGTGTTGTTTATGGTGAGTTGATGTCAGTGAAAAGGCCACATTGTGTTAATAACACAACTTTATATCCCTCAGTTTCTCAGCCTGTAGATGGAAATGAAGAGGCGGCAGCTCCATTGAAGGCCAGGCAGATGAGAAGATTTTTACCAGGTAAAACAGAAAATAATTAGACTCTCATTATTTCTTTGAGCTCTTGTAAATCTGAGTTTAATAAATGAATGTAAACGCAGGAAGAGAAGGAGAGAGAGAAGCTGAAGGAGACTGACGGAGCTGAAGGAGCCGATCTGAGAGGTTAGTGATCATGAAGAAAGGAGGGAGAGTCATTTAAGCTTTCAGTTAAAATGAATACTGAGTTTAACTGAACTGAGAAAATATAGTATTTTTCACTATGACCATGAAATTCTGTCACATAGCTTATTATTAATACCTACTGAGCAAAATCTCATATACACTGTTATTAATAAAGGTTCTGTTTAGGTACGTTTTTCATTCATCAAGGTACAAACAGTGTAAATGTTCCCTCAAAGCTCCAACAGTGGTTTTAAGGTCTGATTGTGAACCTTAAATAAGTTTTTCCAGGTGAAAAGTTTGTATTTGTTCCTTTTCATAACCGAATGTTTTAAAACAGAACAGTAAAATAAAAGCCTGGAGACGAGACGGGGTGTGTGGAGTCAGTACAGCTTAGAACATATCATTTCAGTGGATTATGGTACAGTTATGTTTAGGGCTGCAACAAACTACTAATTTTAGTCGAATAATCTGTCGATTACTGAAACGAATAATCGATTATTCGGGTTATGAATCACTACCTTTTCCAAATAACACTTGTGTAGCTGTCAGCTTTTAAATTTAGCTTTTTTGTTTTATGCATTTGCGAACTAACAATGAAGACAATAAAGATGAATGTTATTCAAAAATTCACTGTTAATGAACTTTCCCGCTAATACAGAAGACAAATAAAACTCAGTGTGTGCAAAGTAGCAGAAATAAAATAACAAAACTAGTTTCCCTTTAATCAAGTAAATTAAAAAATATATCTAATTTTAAGTTTTAAAGTCAAGTCAAATTTATTTGTATAGTGCTTTTTACAACTGATGTTGTCACAAAGCAGCTTCACAGAAATCCATTAAAGCCAAAGTTTTAACATGAAGTGTAAATCCTCCAGATGAGCAAGCCAGGAAAAACTCCCTCAGAGCTGAGGAAGAAACCTTGGGAGGAACCAAGGCTCACATGAGGGGACCCATCCTCCTCTGGTCAAACCACCTACAAAATTATTATACTACTAATTTTAATAGTAGTAGGAGTAGTAATAGTTAGGAGTCCACTTCAGTGTAGAGTGGGCAGCCAGTCCAAGGCAGGTGGCGGTAGCTGGGCAAGTGGCAGTGACTGGGGCATGGGCATTGTTTTAAACAGTGCGCTCTGCTGTCTGTCTACACTTTGTTGCAAATAAATTCTACAATCACAGGTCTTTATTAAAACGGAGGGAAGTCATCGTCTCTCCGTGCGATTGTGAGAGTCTCGCTCTCCTCTGAGAGCAGATACTGCCCTCAGCAGAGAGGATGAGCTCTGATGGAGCGGAGGGGAAAGTGGAGAATGTTTGAACAGCTATGAACGTTTAAATGAAGTTTCATTTCATCTGTAATCCTTCGTCTGGCTGCCCTGTGTGTTTGCGGAGAACTGCCTCCTGAAACTTTTAGAGAGGGGAGCCAAACGTTCGTGGAAAACAGAAAACTGGTTGGAAACGTCCGTCGAATTTGAACGCACCGGCGGCCTCGACGTTAAGACGACGATGCAGTGTTTAAAACTGTAAACGTTATCTGGAAAGTGAACAGGGTCGCTGGGAATAATAGTTACTTGCTTCTCTGTTCCAGCTCCAGTAACGATTCCAGAGAACCTGCATTTCGAAACGGAAAATGTTCCAGCTCAGCTCAGAACATGAAGTCGGACGGAATTTAACATTAACGTGATCTGACTAGCTCACTGGCACCACTGTCGCCGCGGCCCAAACCACACTCTTCTGTACTTTACACACTACACTAATTACTACACTTCTAATGGTATATGCACTATTTTTACTCACTATTTAGTGTGCTAGTATGCGGTTTGGGGCGCGGCGATTCTTGCCGAGATGAATCTTCTTCATCCAGCGAGCCGACGAGTTTCCTCTTCAGATGCTCCAGCATGGAGGATGTGCTCCCAGCTAAGCTCGGCTTTACAAACAGCACAACTGACCATCTTTTTTCTGAGTTTAGCTCCACTTTTGAGGATTTTGTTATTGAGGCTGCCCTCGCACTGTTGTTAACTCTCCAGTGAGCGGTCAAAACATTCCCAGTGAGCGCGAGAAAGACGCGTAATGATGTCACCAACTAATCGACAGCTGAATTAGTTGCCAACCAATTTATCGTCGATTTTAGTCGATTAAGTCGAATAATCGTTGCACCCCTAGTTATGTTCCTTGACTAAAGGTACTGAGATGTACCCAAGAGGGGTCCACCCCAGTGACTAGAGGGGCACTGCCCCAGTGACAGTTTAGTACCTTTATTTCTGAGAGTGTTTGTCATATTAGCTCTTTGTTTAATGCAGACTACAAAGACACAGATGAAAGACGTCTACTGTGTGCTAATTTGACCAAATAGCCATTTTTTCATACTGTTCCTGCTCTAAAAGTTGATGAACAGACATAGTGGGTCCATTAAAAATTCTCCCGGGGCACCATGCCCCCAGACGCTCCTAATAAACGCTCTAGAACCTGTACTGGCACCTCTCCTAGAATGCAGAACAGCTTACGGCTGTACTCAAACAGCATGGCAAACAGTCAGACCTCCCTCCTGACCAGAGCAGGGCTAATAATCGATGCCTCAGTTCCACCCAGCTCTGTTAGGCGGCTTCACCAGCTACTAATGAGAAATAATGCCCTTCTTCTTCCCTGCTGTTTGACCTATTGCGGTTCTATTGCTGTGGATCTCCACCTTCAATCGCTCTCAAACTTCAAAAGAAAACTATACCTGCAGCAACAACCAAACCCGCTCTGCTTTTTCCACCCCAAAGACGCTGTTTCTCCTCCTCGACGTGCTCTGTCAGTTATCCTGATGGAAAGAAATGTTGAAGGAGGAAGGCTACGAGTCTCCAGTTGACTCTCTCACTTTCTCTCCATCTCTCTCGCTCTCTCTCTCTCCCCCGATGAGTCAGGCAGCTGATAAATGTAGCCTCTAACTGCCTGAGACAGGCCCTGATCCTGCAGGACCCGCAATGTTACACACAGGAGCCAGATTCTGAGATTGACTCCAGGTGTGCCGCCCGCTTTGTCCTCCAGAGGACTGACAGAACGGTAGAGATAGAGAGATACAGACAGGAAGAGAGAATTTTTGGAGGAGTCAGAAGAGTTCCCTCATTTTCTTGCCACCCAGGAAAGACCACACAGGCAGCTGCGCCCTCAACAAAGTAAGAAAAGAAGCGAAAAATGAAAAAAGAACCCAGATCGGAGTTGGAGATTTATCCTTGAAGGCCGCCTACGCTGCCCGGGCTTGGGTGGTCAGTGTCGGTCTGGTGGGTTTGCCACTTCTTTCGAAAGGAGAAAAAAAGAAGAAGAAAAACTCTCCCGTCCCCCGCTTACGTCCTTGGGCAGGCAAGGGTAAAAGCCAGCCTGTGAAAAATCCCTCAAAATGAGAGAGAGATGAAGCACTAGGCCGACTTCAGACAGGTCATATTATATTCTGACATCAAAAGCTCTTCATTTCTTCGCACTGGATGGGGATTACCAGATTCACTGGAGGAAAAATGTTTAATTGCAGCTCTTCTCTGAAGGACTTAGGACAGAAATGCCGACCGAGGGATGACAGCGCGGGACTTGGAGCTGTGACGACGAGAAGAACCTAATTAGGCATCACATCTGACCACCGGAAAAGTTTTAACGCAGGCGAATCCAATTTGGAAGCCTTAGAACAGCAACTTCTGGGCAAGGCTAGGTCCTATTTCCTAGACCGAGTCCACAGCGAGAGAGAAATTACCTCTCTAATTCTCCTCTAGCCTTGAGAAACGCTTTAATTTCCTCGCCTTTTCAGCCGCTACGTACATTACACCCATACCTTTAATAGAACATGCTCAAGGATTTATCTGAGGTTGTGTTAAGGCCAATAAACAGCTCAGTGACTTCTAACAGAGAAATGTCAACGTTTACTGTACAGCGAAGTAATTAAAATGATGTCGTAATTATGTTGGAAAGGTTCTGGCAGGGCAGCAGGAGCGAAGGCTTGGGGCTGTTCAAGGCAAAGGTTGTGATGTCAAAGGCAGCAATTAAAAAAAGCAATGAGGGGATTTGGAGGAAAAAAAACCTCTCCAATTAAATTTTTTCTTTCTTTTTTTTTTTTAAGCAGATGTTCTTAAGAGCATATTGAACAACCTTAGCAAAGAGCAAGAACACAAAGTAACAGATCCATCTGGAACGTTGCATACATCTAAGTGAGGATGTATGGCGCAATTTAAAGTCTGAAAAAGGCCCAAAGGTCCAATTCCAGGTTATTTGTTTTGAGCAAGCCAAGAAAGTCGTAATGAAGTCAGTATTCAAGGCTGATAAAGTATCACTTCCAATGAAACATAATCCACAAGGCTACCCACTGCCTCAGGATACTAAGGTGAATACGTAGTTCATCAGCAGTGAACACTTTCTGAAGATGAAAACACACTCTGCCTGTCAAGAGTTTGGGGTTTTTCAAAATGTTTTCAGCAAATCAGGATGTTTTCTTTGCCAGTTCTTAGGCTTTTTAATCAAATCCTAGGATTACTTACTCATTAACTGCTCTGAATGATTCTAACTACTATGAAATTGATATGGAAGCCAGAGTGAGGAACTAAACCGTGGACCCACATAAAGGCCCATTAGATTTTAAAGCTGTACTATGTAAGATTTGGGGATTTGGGGACCTCTCTGGTGGAAATGTGTAATTGCATGCAACGTGCGAAAGAACATTCTGCATTGTCAGTTGTATATTGTCCCCCTTTCCAGAGTGGATGAACCTGCTGATTGAAAGAGAATTCAGTCTCAACTTGGTGAAGGAGCGTCTTCTGAGGATGTGAGTGAATTATCTACTATTGTCATCACATCTTCGTCAGTATGATGTTGATTTTGAGATCATTTGAGGCCGAAACATTTAGCTGGGCCCTCTTTTTTACATAAAGGTAGCGCTGGGCAATTAATCAAATTTTATTTTCAATTACGACTTCGGCTTCCAATGATTAGAATTACAGAATAATCGAGATAACCGATTATTGTGCTGCATTCCATTTCGCATTGATGCTCTCGTTTTGTCCGAGAGTATGTTTTATAAATATTGTATACATATTTATTTATAGGGGTGGGAATCTCTAGGCACCTCATGATTCGAATCGATTACGATTCAGAGGGCTGCGATGCGATTATAAAACAATTATCGACTTTTTTTTCTATATAGCATTTATATTTTCTCACTGTGTGAGCTCAAGTTTCGAGTTCAAGTTTCAAGTTTATTTGTCATTTCCACAACATGTCAGGACATTTATACATTGAAATGCTTGTGGTGAGGCTCAGATAATCACTACAGAAAGTAAATAATAAAAATAGAAATACAAGAAAAACCAACCGAAATATATTAAATATACACAAAATATACACAAAATATATACAGAATATAGAGACAATATACATTTTAAAGTGACTAAGTGACTCGGTGTTGTTATTTAAAATGACTTGGTACTTTTAAAGCAAAGTATTTGTAATGATCCATAATGAATTTACTTCCAATATCTTTTATTAATAAATCAGATGGAAGTGATGTGGTCAGTGAACTAGACGGCTCTCATTCACTGCTCTTGTTTGGAGCACGAGAAGCTGCTGCTACTCATCTGCGATAAAATGTGCAGTTACGGTGAAATAAGATCCAGTGGTGATCGATGTCCACGCAGTGCGTTACAGCTATTCTACTCGTTTTCTTTAGTGATTTTAGAACTTCGGTTTTGGTCTCGTTGTAGAGACGGGGGGTCGCTGTGTCAGTAAAGTATCTTTGAGACGGGTCGACATAGCGTGAAAGCCCTGTTTTGCAACGACTGAGAACCGCCGTGCAGACTGCAGGTCACATAGCAGCGATGCATTATTTGCATTTATAAGCAGCGCAGTTGGTTTCCTCGTTCGTTAAATCTGCAACGAGACTGTCACACACTAAAAAGTGGCGAAGCTGAAGTTGCTTCTCTTTCGAATTCTCCCGTTCCACCTTAAATGGTACCACATTTACATTCGGTGCCTCAGTTAGAATTTAAGGTGGAACGGGTAAATTCGAACAAGAAGCTGGAGAATAAGAAGCGACTTCAGCCTCGTAAAACAGTCGTTGAGACATTTTACGAGAAACTGATCTACATCTGAAGAAAAGTTTTCTGGCGGAGATGGGAGGAAAGCGGCTGTAGCTAAAGCTTAAAGCAGAGCGAAGTAAATCTGCGTTTTCGTTTATATTTTTTTAACCTAACTTATACTAGGACATTAACACATACTGAGAAATACTGGGCATTAAATGTTGTGGCTCCCAAGGTGGTTTGATTTTTGTTGAAAGGTCAAAATGGCGCTTCTTATCATTTGTGTTGTGACTCCTGACCTAACCTGGCTTTAATGCAGAGGGAGCCGGTCAGATTTCTCGCTCATCCAGTTGTATTTATGTTATGTGCCGCCACAGACTGTCCGGGCGCTGCACTTACCCACTTCCAAGTTCCGCCTTTTGCCTTCCATCAACATTACGTTATAAATTAAATATTTAGAAAATCGGTTTTTGACGTTTGTGAATCGATTCAGAACGTCCGCATCGCGATGCATCTAAGAATCGATTTTTTCCCGCACCCCTATTTATTTATCATTTTATATGTTTGGTGGTTTTCAGTAGGTTGTGGTAGTGCAATACATCATAGTTGATCTTATTTATTTTGATCTTGTTTACTTCTATATTATTTATTTGATTGTATATATATATTTATAATCACATTTCTTACGTTTATTTTTGTTTTGTTTTTTAT